TTTAGCCCTTGGGGCTTTCGGGTTGTTTTACTTGGGGATTGGGGTTTAGGGTTGTGCGCCCGGCGCGCGCATCGGTTTAGGGTTTAGGGGTTTGGGTTTTCGCCTGAAGCTTCAGGGCTTAGGTTTTAGGGTTGACGGGTTAAGGGTTCTAGGGTTCAGGGTTGCACGCGCCGATCGGTTCAGTGTTTATAGGGCTTTGGGGTTTGGGGGATGGGTTTAGGTGTGCTAAACCGGCGCGTGCATCGGTTTCGGGGTTTGGGTTCAGGGTTCAGGGCTTACAGGTATAGGGTTTTGGTTCAAGGGTGTGAGTTTGGGGACTAGGATTCAGGGTAGAGTTTACGGGCAAGCCCGGCACGTGCATCATGCATGTAATCTTGCATGGCGCGTAGTTTTTTGATGGGGGAGGGGGGGTCATCTTGGTAATTGTAATTTTGGTAGTCTTGGTTCGCAAGTGGTGCTATCCGTTGGGCGAGTGGTGCAAGTGGTAGAAGTGGCACAAGTGGGAGGCTTTTGTTGGAGTCGCCTTGATCCTCAGAAGCATTGATGAGCAGAGGGATGACGGGTCCCAACACCCTGACCAGAGATGCTCGACCTTGACACTGTCTGAATTTTTGCATAACCCCACGTACGATTGACACCGGAATTGGTTAACAGTGCCTTCTTCTCGTGCAAATCCGGTTGTACCCGGCTGTACTAGAACGGAACGTCGACAACGTGTGAAAAGCAGCCGCATTGTCATCGCTTGCGCAGATCAACACTGTGCGCATGTAGAGTTGAGGCTTCGCCTTCCAAGTCGCCTGTTTCGCCTGGCACTGCAGTGAGGACAAATGCAAATGCTTGTAGTGAGTACTGCGTACCTTGCTTGACATGCAGACTGCATGACCTTCACAGGAGTCAAACCGAGACGCGCCTGCAGTGGCGCAACAAGATGGACAACTCGCTGCGGTTGGGACCTCGTTTGCTGCCTCGGGTCAACAAGCAGAGGTAAGAGAGCTACAGCCTCGGTAACTGTTTTGAGGCGCCTGATGTTGAACATGGAGCTGGATGGTGACGAACGCCTCAGGGAGCGATGCGGGGGATCTAACGTGCAAGCAAGCTGTGCTGCTGCAAAGTCCTCAGGACTTTGCACACCAAGCCCGCATCTTAAAAACGACCCCCAGACCGGTCTCTAAGACTCTAAGATCTTGCTGTCTTCGCCTGCATTCCAGCGGACTTCTTAGGCGCGGTGCAACCACCTCGACAAGATCTTTGATTCTCGCCATCTTTCTAGCCAACTTTCTCACTCAGCACCAACACCACTGCAGAGACTGCTTCCCAGCTTCTTTTGCTCGAGGACTGGTACACCACCCACGGGGGCAAGGAGGTACGCAAGGACGCCTGAGCTGTGGTTAAACCAAAGTTCGTGTGCCACTCGTCCGACTCGTCCTGATGCGAAAGGAGGCTCAGAGGGCCACAGCTCCTGCTTTCGCCGACGGCTTAGAGCGCCACAAAATGAAGTCCAGTTGTGATTCAAGTTGCGATGATGCCCAGAGGTTCGCTACAACCAGGACGGTCCCGTAATGCCCGGTTCGCTGCGAGTGCCCAAAACGTCCGAGTCTCGATGTAACGACCAAAAAGCAGCGTTGGACAAGGAATGAGAAGGAGTAGCCATGAAAAAAGGCAAGCAAAGCCAGGACGCTTCAAAACTTGTGCTCAGGCCAAAGCTCGACAAGCAGAAGGCCAGAAACGGAGAACCTTTCAGCCGCGCTTGGCCTTGGCCTTGGCCAGGCGCCAGCGAAGAAGGACGTGGCGCTGCCCGGCCTCTCTCGTGGCGTCTCCTCTCCAGCGCTCGTCGCAACTTGCAGCAGTTATGGGGCGCTGCAACGCTGTCAGCATGCAACTTGCTTGGCTGCAAGAAACCCCCCAGAGCACCTTAACTCGTCTGAAAATCTAACATACAGATGCCAGGAGGTCCAGGTTGCTTTACCCATCTCGAGCCAGCTCATCAGGCTGACTGACGCAGATGCCTAAGGCTGCAGGTACCTTGAATGTCGAGAGTCCTGCGAATTCTCCGTGCCCATCGCCGAAGGCACATGCCCAATTCCGAGTTGGGACGTACCAAGATGAGCATCATGGAGCTATTCTGTGATGCAGGCGAAGGCAGCGAGATGACGCCAGAGCCTGAGCTTGGTACGGTCAGGGAGCTCGCGACGAGCTTGAGACGGCCCGGGCGGTACCGATAGATTCGATGCTGTGCAGGTACACAGCGCGACTTATCTGAGTTGCAACCTTTTTGCGAGCTCATAGCGTATACTCATACTCATATAGGACTTGCTGCAAGCCGTAGACGTTGGTCAACATTGGTGAAGCTGCTTGCTGCCCTCCTCGCCATCTGCAGTCTGCAGACACAAGGTTCGAGCCATGTATTTCAGGCTACTGTGTAGGGGGACAGGCACAAAATGCTGTGCGGCCACCGATGCATGGTCGCACAGACTTGTCCATGCAGATCAGAAACCTGACTGCGCACGATACCCCGACGTCATTGATATGGGTGAGAATTAGACAGTAGATAGATGGGTGCATTGTCATAGTTGGCAGATGCGCCTCTGGAGCGCAGTTCCGAGTGTGATTTGGAGTGTCACCTGCCCCAGAAAGTGTTTATTGCCGGGCTTCCTGCGGCTCACCAACAATTGGTGCGAGTTCGCATAGCGGCTGGCTCTTTCTGGCAATCTTTAATGTTCGGAGGCCGACAGCTAGTTGGGCTCCTTCCGCGCTCAGCACGAATTGCGATAGCACGGTGCAAACATGACCACAACTAGCCTAACGCTCCGCCTCTCTGCCGGAAGCCGCTGCAAGCTGCCACGACGCGCTGCGGCAGGGTCGCCATTGAATCCCACACCTACTACAAGTTGATGAGTGCGGTAGCTCGTTGTGAAACTCGTTATTGCCCGTCAAGTCTGAGACATCCTGCGGCGGCAACTCCGGAGATTTTGGAACTTATGCGGGCATGTCTGGGGACGGAGACAAGTGTAGCGTGATGGAAAACCTCATTCTTGGACTCTTTTAGTTATCTCCAGTCGCCAGCTGCTAGATCTGCCCCTTTTTGGTGATACCAATTCGAATGTGCAGGCCAGCAGCCTCCCGTCCGGTGTGAGGCGCACGGGGAAAAATGGACCCCCAGCATGAGTCTTGACACCATTCCACCGTTCTTCAGGTATGCCATCAGAATCTCCCGTCTTTCGATTTTGTTTTGTCTACCGGAACTAGTCCGGTTTCGGCCAAAGGCCATGTTGGCCCAACCATGGCAAGCAATGGCCTAACAACATGTGCATGACGACGTCTTCCCGACCCACGGCTATCGAAGAGCTGCAGAATTCAGCTTTAGTATGCCTGAATCATGCAAGGCGCCCGTAGAAGCTCCGCAGTCTTTTGCCGATGGCTCTCGCACTCCGGCACCTATGGCCTCTTCTCTGCTACCCCGTCCAGGCATCTCAGGCTGAAGCGCCCAATAATGCAAGAGTGGCGAGTCAATGCGAGTCGCATCTCACGAGGCATACCTGGCAAAGTCGATGGACACCCTGAAGGCATGGGGAAGCTGAAGCGGGAACTCGATCTGTCTCGGCCTAGCCACGCAAGGACAAAGCTCCTCCGTCTCCACTCGTCCTACTTCAGCAGGCGTTTGGAGCAATGACTCGTGCAGATGGCAGTGATCACACTTTGCAGTGCAGCACGGGTCCTTGGCATCCAGAACTTGTCGCCTGTGAGGCCGGTGTGCTTCACTCGAGCAAGCAAAGCCTCGCCGTGCGGGAGGCAACTGACCGTGACGAAGAGCCAGGGGTGAGTTAGGCAGGCAGAGGCCTCAGAGGTGAAGGTTTGTGTGGTCACCCCCTATTGCCCGCCCGCGAACTTCCTCTGATATTTTTTGACAAGTGAGTTCGACCGTGCGTGCGAAATCCTTCATTCCATAGATCGATCTGTGTTCCAACTGTGGGTGGGATGCACGTGGGCGGAGAACTTGGTATGAGCACACATGAAAGTGCACTGGGACGTGGTTGATTCTGATCATTTCCTGCAATATATTAATCCACTGAGGTGGTTTGGGGCTCGCTGACAGGCATCAGAATGGGCATCAGGCCTTTGCTCTACCAAGACTCGCGCTGTGCTTGGTTCCGGCGTGGAACCAGCTAGCTGCCTGACCTGAGTGCGGCTTTCAGAGTACCCACGCCATGGAATGAGCCGCCCTCTTGCGACTTGGTTCTGGGGTCTTGTTGCTAAGGTCAACAAAAACTGTTCCGCTGTCTATTTTACAAAAACAACCTGTTCAGCGCTTAGTTTTGCTGCAAAAGGCATTGAAATTCAACTCTGTGTTTTACTGAGACTGTTCAACTGTATTTCTCTTCACAAGCGAGGTTTTCTCGCCAAGGTCCGGTGACAGAGTTGTTGTCGAGGTACAATCGTCTATAGATTCCGACGATCGCTCCCGTCCTCTGACCGAGGTGTTGTTACCGAGGCCTAGTCGCCGAGGTCTTGCCGCTGAGATCTCATCAGTCTTCCACAAATCGAAAATCTGGCATGCTCGTCCATTCAGTTCTATAACTCGTTGCCGATATCCTTTTGTGCCCTGTCGCCTAAGGTCTCGTCATCGAGGCCCTGTTGCCGAATTGCTGTGACCAACGTCGTCCTGTCGAGGTCCGCTCGCCAAGGTTCCATCGCCCAGGTCGTCCCCGTCGAGAAGCGTCCCTCCAGCTCCGACGTCCATACCCAAGCCATGCCTCAGGTGAGCAAGCTCAGCACTACCAGCGACAACAGGCTATGGATCTGCTGTCGAGTTCCGTCACATCAACGCGGAGGCCAAGCGACTCTTGACAAAAGCCTGGCATCTTTGGTTCAGGTTCTGGCAGAGAAGGACATCATTTGTTGGTGCTGGAACCAGTTCATCGCTTTCGCTGAGACCAACATTGCCTCGACCTTTGAATCGAGGTCAGCGCCATGTTATCTCAGCTTGGGAGCCCGGGCAAACGATGCCGGGTTGTTTTTTACGCTCAGCGCCGATGCTTGGGCCAGCGCTTGAAACGCCCAGGAGCTGCGCGAGCCTTCTTGCAATCATGGTCATGACCCCGGCACGTGCCCCAAGCTGCCCACCTGCACGGCTCCTTGCGCGTGCAGTGGCCAACGCCGCCGCACACAACACATTGGCTGCTTGGCAGGAGCTGCTTATGCTGCCGGGGCCAGATGCCGGGGACGTTAGCGCTAGTTGTTGGACAGCGATCGTGCGGCCTTGTGGGAACGGGAAGAGCTGCCCGCCACCCGGCCGCGGAAACCTGGAGAACTGTCCCGTGCTTGTGCCCCCCTTCGGTAAAGCCGCTTGCTCTTTCTTGCTTCAGCTGAAGCTTCGGCCTTCACAGGCGCTTCACGCATGCCGCGCCCCCCAACCTTGCATTGTGGCCTGCTTGCCCGCCCACTCCTGGCAGGGCGGGAAGGACAAGCTTCTCTGCAAAACTGTCCGGTCCAGGGCGAAGCTGGGAGTACTTGTTCTGCGCGAGGTGGGAGTCGGCGTTAAGGCCCGCACTCAGCGACATTGCCGTCCACGCGACGAGCTGGAGCTGCGCAATGCTGTCCACGCCATGAACGGGAGGCGAGCGCCCGTGGCCTGCAATGTTGGGTTGACGGGCGCTACGGAGGCATCGCGCTTGTAGTTCGGCTGTTGTCAAGCTGTTGTGTTCAACAAGGTGAACCTCTCGTTCCCGTCCTGTTCGCCCTAGCGCTGCAAGCCGCGATGGCGGGCTCTGGTTGCTTGCGCCTCTGCTTCGTGCTCACACAGGCAGCAGCGCGGGCGCTGAACGGAGCTGCAGCACCTATTATATTGGCTTTGTCCTCCAGGCTTAGATGTCGGAGGTCGTCATGTTTGGACCTTCAGGCATGGTGCGCTCACATTGCTGTGAGCAGCAGTTGGTGGTCCGTACTTGGCACATTCGGGAAGAGAGCGTTGACAAGGCGGTACAGAACTCGTGGATGCATTGGCTGACTTCCCTGGCCTTGACCCACAGAGGGGGCGCTGTGCTCCTGGATCGCCAGTCAGCGCAGCTCCCACGACAAGGTCAATTACTCCATGCGTGTTACACCGCCCAAGTTGCATCTCCAAGCCCGCTTTTGATTATCTTTTAATTTATCATGAATCATTGTAAATCGATCATGTTCTCAAATTGCTAAAAGTGCCATCCTTCCGTGTCCTTGATGCTCACCCGGGCTTCGTCCTCTAGCAGACCCTGTCTGCGGACGTCTCCGCTGCCACGGACGAAATCAAGGCCCACTTGCGTTTTTCTTCCTGGTGCCTACGTATCCGCCTAGTGTCGCATCCTCTGCAGGCTGTCGCCTATCGCTCTTATGCAAAGGTGTCAGGGTGGCGGACAGGCATGGTGACCATGCGAGGGCGTGCCCATGTGGAGAAGACACAGCAAAAGCATCATCATAACCGACTCTGCTGTTGAGAATGCACGCGCAGTGCTGTGACGCCTGCCAGCCCTGGTGCCACGGGGCCTCTGGCCGACCGTAAGCCAACCGTTTTCTGCCGTTACTCTTGCCACGTGGATGAATGATGCATATCGGATCATATCGGTCTTCCACCTTGCATTCGCTCTCGGGCACGCTGCATCCTCTACTTCTAGATTCTATCTAGATCAAGTGAAGAGCCTGTGCATGAGCATGTGAACAGGGCAAGACCTACAGTAAGCAGGCCGCTTCCGGGCAGCGTAGACGTGGAGCACGGCTAAACTTGCCCAACTGTCCTGCGTGCACCTACAAGTTAATCAGTGGTATGCACGTCCAACGCACACGAAGACTGCCTACGGGTTCCTGCGAGTCCTCTTGCAGGGCTGGCGCATGTCAGATTTCGGCACTCAGACAGGGCGCAAGACCCTCAGCCTCAGATGCTTTGTCTTGTTTTTGGCATCAAAGCGATTTGTTCAAGGCGAGGTGCAGCATTTGCAGACAAGATACGATCAGCGATGTCTCGATGTCGAGGAGAATGGGAACGTGCTACGTGGTCGCAAGTGGCATCCTCTGCCAATACTGAATGATTTACGGGATGAACTCAGACGGTGCTAAAGTATTTTGAACTCAGGTACGTGAGTGTCTGTCAGGCGCTTGATCGGCAGTCCATGGATGCAATAGACCTGCCTGTGCTGATATTGCACCAGTTCACTTACTTGTCGACCATAGGCACCGACATCAAAGGGAAAGTCAGTGTTGTGCTGTCGGAAACGATGCCGGTCTTGGTGAGGATGTTCTACTTCGAAGGTTCTCGCATAAAGTCGCTCGCCCTGCGCTCAATTGGTTCTTTGCGCGCCCGTGAATCACACAGTCGTGCCCGCAGCGACATTTCCTTCGAGTTTTTTCAGCAGATACTGGTAAGAGTCCGTGCGCAAAGGCCAGTGACAAGTGCCTTGATTGTGACCATTTCAACGACAACGTTAATATGCCACCTGGCAGTTTTTGCTTGTGCTTTGGTTTGTCGGGAGAAACGACGTTGTGGAACAATCATGCCAATCTAATCTCGAGTCTGTGCGCATCGAGGTATGCTTGCCACGAGCACGACAACCAGAAGTGGTTCCTGGCCGGAGCTTAGGTGCTAAGGCTTTGCAGCGTCCGGATCGGTAAGTTGCGCTCAGACCTGCATAATGTCAGCAAAGGTACTTCAGTGGGGAAAGTCTCCGTACCATGTGGGATGACAAATGCATGGCACCTCGGCTGCAAGAAACGCGGCTTCCCATCTCGCGGCAACCCGTGGCTAAGGACTACAACTACAACACTCAAAATGCTGCCTGATCGGCACAAGCTGTTGTGCTTTCGACCCATGTGAGTGTGCTGAGAGAGGACAGCGGTGGTGCATGTTCAGTTCGAGATGCTTCAACTGATGTCACGAGAACGAGAGGTGTACATGTGGTGGTGCCACGGAGGCAGCAATCAGAAGTGGTTCTTCTCAGAATCGTTTCTGACCGTCACCTCGACTACAGTGCTCGTCAGCAGAAGCGCCACCACAACAAGCCTTGATACTACGACCATCCCGGGGAACACGTCCCCACCCAGCAACACTGCAAATCCCACGACCCCTGCAACCACCGCCACCATCAAGGCCACTACCATCACCACATCCACCACCGCCACCACGACCACCACTGCCACCACTCCCACCACTGCCACCACTCCCACCACTGCCGCCACTACCACCACTGCCGCCACAACCACCGCTACCAGCACCACCACGTCCACCATTGTCACCACTGCCACTTCCACTTCTGCAGCTATGCCAGCCCCAGACACCACAACCACATTCATTCTGAATGCCAGCACCACGCATGGTATCGATCACGGAACACGAGCAAAGTGCCTCGGATTGAAGACCTGCAGATAGTAGATTGCAGGCTGGGCTTCGAGTAGCCGAGTAGCACCACGTTCTTCACGTCCCTTGTGCTGCCACTCAGGGAGCTTCCGATCTTTGATCGTCCAATCTGCGACGATGGTGCTGTGCCCCAGGCACTTTCTCGAAAAGCTTCAGCCGTCGTTCCATAGGGCGCTGGTGCAGGTTGAGGGGCATCTGGCCTGGAACAATCACTGGGTGCTGGATGCAGGCACTGTTTGTGCCCGTGTTCTTGCTCACACGTGCACTTGACGTCAGGCTGCCGCTACGAGGTCTGGGATGCCAGGGCTACAACTAGCTGTTTGCAGCTCGCCTCGAATCAGTGCTGAGCAGTGCTGCGAAGAAGTGAGAGAGATTGCTTTTATCAAAGCATTCGAGGTCAGGCAGCTGGGTGGTGCTGCAGGCGCCGGAAAAGACGTTGGCTTTCTTTTGCCCTCAGCAGCTTTATGTCACAGCTGCTAGTCAAATTGCACTCAGTTCGCAAAGTGATGGGCAGGGAGCCTCAAATGGCTTGCTGATGTTCCACACGCTGCTCATGATGCCTGGCTCTCGGTTTCCGCGTCGCGACCTGAACCCGAAAGGACGATCAAAGAACACATGGGGGCTGCAGTCAGAATTCAGGCCTTGTGTTGAAATGTGGCCTGAGGCTGACTGCACCATCTACAAATCGCATCCGCTCTGGAAGGTTTGGTGGTCGAGCAGCCACCTAGCTAAATCGGCCAAGCTGCACCGCTGCACCTCTCACATGTCGAGCCACCAGCCGGGTAAATGCTCGTCGCATCCTGCATCCGAAACTGTAACTTCCACCTGGGAGGTACGAAATAGATTTTGGAAGCAGACAGATCCAGAGTCTTCAGTTCAGAAGCCCGATGCCACATAGCAACCCCCCGAGAGCTTGCATTCGCCCCTTCCCAAATGTCAGTCAGCGTAGCAGCCGTCGGAATACAGCGCACACGAGCAGGCACAGTTGAAATCAACCAAGAAACAGCATGCGACAGTCCATCGGGATGCAAATTGGTGATGCAGTTCACCTGCGTTCCGCGGGGTCGAGGTAGGGTCATGCAGGGTCTCGGATTGGTGTTCAGTCAATCCTGTAGCCTACCAGTTGTTTAATTGCATGCTGCCTGCTTCCATAAACACTTGCGTGACTCTCTGAACTTAGGTCATCGATGTCTTCATTCAAGACGGGCAGATTCTGGAGTACAGTGCTTTGCCATCTGTCGGAAATCCGTGTGAGGAAGTAAAGCATCTCGGCACATCCCAGCATCAGCATGCGACCGGTGCCACGGAGCCGACAGATCCTACCAGGCATGGCGTGATGGAGGCTGCCGAGAGCTGCAAGCAGCACGTCTTGAAGCATTGAGCGGGCTTGCCAGAACACGGTCCCGACGTTCTTCGGCGGCAAAGGGGTCTTCCAAGCTTCATATCCGTCTGTGATTGGCGCACTGTAGCACCGTAAACCGTGCCTAATGCTCCAACTATCATCCCAATTCGGGTGATGCACCTCCGTGCAACAAACTCCAAAACGTATAATCTTCGCTTTCCAAGCCCGAATCACCACTGCCAGCCCACCACGACCGGTGCAACCAGTCGAATCCGAGCGGACTCCCCGAATGATGTTCTTACAGATCTTACGCAGAAGTCCGCACAACGCCTCCGACCCT